GATAGAATTAAACTGATTTACAATTATAACAAAAGTATTCGACAGAAATATCAACAATATGCTTCCTAGTATCTTCAACAAGCCCATCAATGACATCAACCCGGAAGCAACTGCTCTTGTCCTTGGGGTAGTGCATGGCATTAAACACATCAAAATTGACCTCTTCATCATTTACTCTCACCTTAAGCTTCCCATCATCCACATCAATTAGAACTCTTGTCGTCTTCATGAATGGTCAGCTAAGAATGAGAGGTACATCAATGTCCTCTTCAATATCCATCACCACGAGCGGGAAACAAGAAACGGTCCACCTTCACCAGAACATCCTCCACAATGCCATGAGGATACTTCACAGATCGATCAGCCAACTGCAAAGTCATGCGAGTTGGCTTCACTTCCAAACCACCAATCCTCTGAAGCATAGATAAGGGCATAAGATTGATGCTAGCCCCCAAATCAAGTAAAGCCTTCCCAATAGCTAAACTCCCAATAGTGACTGGAAGAGTGAAACTACCAGGGTCCTTGGACTTTGTTGGCAACATCTTCTGAATAATGGCACTACACCCCGCCTCCAATGTAATGGTCTCCTCTTCAAAATACTTTCTCTTCTTGGTGAGGAGCTCTTTCATGAACTTGGCATATGTAGGCATTTGCTCTAATGCCTCGGAGAACGGAATGTTAATTTGCAAGGTCTTGAAAATCTCTAAGAACCGAGCATATTGCCTCTCCTTATCCCTTCTTGAAGGTGCATGAGGATACGGTAAGCTCTTAGTGGGTGGCACCTTCATAATACTCCTCTCCTCCAAGGGTGCTTTGTTTTTGTCTCTACTGACTCCTTCTTTTTCTTTTTCAATCTCTTTCTCTTTCTCATTCTTTTTGGTATTTTCATTTTTCTTCTTATTTTCATCAACCAACTCACTTACTCCACTCCTTCTCAACACTCTTGGGCCCTCCAAGATGATCTCTTCATCAACACTAGCATCATCTTCTGCACTCATATCATTTTTCTCCTTGCTCTCATTTTTCTTCTCATTCTCCTTCACCACAAATTCCCGACCACTTCTTGTAGATACAACATTCAAGTGCCCCTTCAGGTTTTGTTCATGGTTGGCTGAGAAAGAACCTTTTTATTGCTCCGCCAGCTGTGTTGTTATTTGGCCCACCTGTATCTCCAGATTTTTGATTGAAGCATCAGTATTCTTTTGGTTGGACATAGACAATTGCATAAATTGTTGCAATGTGTCTTCCAACTTGGTGGTTCTTTCATATAAAGGTGGGTGTTGGTGTTGATGTGAAGGCCTGCTACTTGATGAAGCATTCATGTCTGGCTTGTTTCCACCATAGTTATTTCTTCACCCCTAATTTGAATTTTGCGGATAGGGGTTGAGAGAAAATTTGCCGCCTTTGATTCCCCATATAATTCACTTCTTCACCTTGGGAATTAGATGAACCGGCACAATAACCGTTAGGGTGGTCACCTCCACAAAAATCACATGCCAATACTTGTTGCATAGGAGAGGCATTAGCGCGCATTGCTTGAAGTTGTTGAGGTAGCTTGGCCATTTGTTGGTTCAAGGCTTCAATCTGTTGGGAAAGTATCTTGTTCTGAGCTAACACTGCATCTTGAATACTAAGCTCCAAGACTCCTCTCTTGTGTGAAGAGCTTCTACCATGCTGGCTCCTAAAGTCTGTGGAAGCCATGGACTCAATGATTGTGATAGCCTCTTCAACAGTTCTGAACATGACTGACCCTCCAATAGAAGCATCCAATATCATCCTGGTTTGAGGTTGCAAACCATTACAGAAGGATGAGACTTATTGAACGAATTCCTCTCATCCTCTAAACCATTGCAATATAATTGCTCTTTTTGGTTCTTTTTGTGTGCAGATATAACTAACCTAAATTTAGCTAACAATACCTTAATACACCTCATTTTTTGTGCAGGTATTGAGCTAGGGACTTGAGGATTGAAGATCCATAGGATTGGAAACTAAAGGAGTTAAGGAGCAGAGAAGAGGTCATGTGCCGGGCGCAAGGTGATCCGCACCGGGCGAGCAAAACAGAGCATCTCACTTCTAGAAGCTATTGCGTCGGGCGCAATATGAATTGCGCCGGGTGCAATATGAATTGCGCCGGGCATGTCCTGAAGACAAAGGGCATTTGGAAGGTCATGCGCCGGGCGCGAAGACTTATGCGCCGGGCGCATGAACCCTAATCTGTCTCCCCAAGCTCGTATTTGAAGGCATTTTCGGGGACTCCTCCCCCATTCTCACATTGGGCGCCTCTAGGAGCTGCGGAAGGCTCGTATTTGAAGCCATTTTCGGGGGAGAAACCCCCATTCTCACATTGGGCGCCTCTAGGAGCTGCGGAAGGGATTCCCAGGGCTTGGGATCGTCCGTGTGCGGATCTTTCCTTCGGTTCTTCACTTCCTCTTCCATCTCTATTTTGTATTTGCCCTCATTGTTGTGAGTGGTTTCACCCATTTTTTGTGGGGTTAGATGTAACCATCAAATTCTAATGTAATTCTTACGTTTTGAATGATATATATACATGTTGTTTCATTCATTGTTGTGTATGTTTCTATTCTTAATGATTGTTTGGATTGAATCTCTTTGCATGATATAGGTTCCATTGGGTATTGGAAAATAACCTTTGAAACTAGCTCTGAAACACATGCCTAGTGGGAAATGTATCTAGAAATGGAGCTTAGCCCATTAGTAGTCTTAAACCCTAACCCGTAATGCAGGTGCAGATATTGGGTACTCAAGGGATTGATATTCAATATCCGCACCTAGGCTCTTTCTCTAAGGGATTAGGTTTGAGTAAACTCTTGGGTTGACTAAACAATGAATTTAACAAAAGATTAAGGATACATTAGTGTTACGTTTGGTGAAATCTGACCCCCACAACCTCACAATACCACAATACCATTCCTTACCTTTTCCACTCACAAAACAATATTTATTTACAGCTTTCATTCCAATAGTCACAACTTTGAATTCACTGCACAAACTATGAAATTGGAATTATTCTTTAGTCACGAATAGTCAATAAATGCTTATATTACCTTCTAATCCCTATGGATACGATATTATTACTACTTGAACGGCCGGTATACTTGCCGTGTTTGAGACCGTTGATAGAATTTAACCTGATTTACATTTATAACAAAAGTACTTCAACGGAAATCTCAACAAGTTTTTGGCGCCGTTGCCGGGGATTAGAATGGCGATTTAGTATTTTAGCTATTTGTGACTTATTATTTTGTTGTTATTTTTATTTTTTGTTAGCAATGAATTGTTGGAGCTAACTTGTGTACTCTAGTCTTCAGCTTTCTCTTGTATGCAAGGTACTGTTGAAAATTAGATTGACCAATCCTTCTGAGCCATTGTTGAGCAATCCTGAGATTGAGCACAGGGCAAGGAGGAACAATAGCAACAGGAGGAGGAGGAGAATCAGAGCACTTCAAGTTAGTCACCGTCAGGCTCGGGACAGTAAACAAGCGCTTCCTGGGAGGCAACCTAGAGATCTGAACTGTGTTTTAGATTTTTGTTGCATGTTGTTCTGTGTTATATGTGTTGTTTTGTATTATGTGTTGTGTTTCGTGTTATATGTTGTTTTGTGGTATATGTTGTTTTTTGTTACGTGATAGTGTTAGAATCATGTTTGAGCAGGTAAATATAGGGTACATCTTGTTGGGAGTTTGAGGATGAGGTAATTATGTTTCTGGGTGGAGGTAAGGCCTTCTCTTTAAGTAAATTTAGGCAAAATTGACCATATCAGGGTTACGCGCCCGACGCGCTTTACCTCGCGCCCAGCGCAAGGCTCGAATTGTAGTCTCTGGAACCCACCACGCCGGGCGCGCCTGAGTCACGCCCAGCGTGATATCAGATTTTGAAACCTCGTTGATCTTTACTGATATGAAGCCCGGCGCACGTGTTTTGCGCCCGGCGCAACCTTCCTGACAGCCCATTTTTATCTATTTTCATTCATGTTTCTTTATGTTCTGTTTGTGTTGCATTGTTATAGTCCATTTCCGTGTGCATGCATGTTGTGGTTAATTTTGGTCTAAGGATATTCCCCATTTTTGCTATATTTGCTTGGTCATCAATGTGTATAATTGTTGTGCTCACCATGTTCCTTCATGATTATACTCTTTCATCACTTTTGGTTACTAAGACTTTCAGGCATATACTGGTTGGCCTGGGGACCAGGCTCCTAAGTGTGGGGGAGTGGAGCTGCTGATGCAGACGGAGTCGATGATGGTGGAGCAGTCCCTGAAGATGATGATGACCAGATCCCATAGATGGATGCAGATGGAGCCTACCTTAGTTTACCCGTGTCTATTGCAATTTATTTTTCTGTCTTTTATTTTCAGTATTTAAGTGTTTTTATATATAGTCTTTTTGGTGATTACTTTGTTGGTTCTTTTGTGAATAGTCTGCCTTAGCATGGTTTTTAATCTTGTTGATACTTGTTTGGCTTGTGGTCGATTCTGGATTATAGTTTGCTTGATGTTTATGGTGTGTGTACCTTAGACATTTTCAAGTCACATTAGATCTTTAGTTCATGACTAGTTGCATACGGGTTTCAATGTTGATCATAGAACTGAGCTGAGTTTGATAATTTGTGGATGCATAGCCGGGTGAGGTTTGAGCCTAAATACTGATGAGTGAACTACGCTTTTGTTACATGATAGACTTTGCTTGAGTTTCCCTGGTGGTTTGCTTATATTGTGCACTTATATGATCAAGGCATTCACATTTCCATATTTTGTTAACCATCTAAGCCAAAAAGCCATCTCCACTTTTCACTTGACCCATACCTTCCTAAGCCTAAACACCACACCGTCCATTTGTCCCAAACCATAAAAAAATTAACCATAACCCTTGCTTTGGTTAAGAGAGCAAAACGATGACATCAAATAAGTTTGGGGGAGTTGAAGAATGAGAACCTAAGCCTAAACACCACACCTTCCACTTGTCCCAAACCATGGAAAATTAACCATAACCTTTGCCTTGGTTAAGAGAGCAAAATGATGACATCAAATAAGTTTGGGAGAGTTGAAGAATGAGGAAATTTGGGAAGAAGAAAGTATGTGGTCAGCCATTACAAAATATATATATATATATATATATATAAAAACAAAGCAAAACAAAAACAAAAATTTTCAGATGCAAAAGAATAAATATGCATCTCATAAGGGCTAATGGCTTGGATCCGGTTAAGGGCATGTGAAAAATGTTGTATGGGGGTATGGAGAGGGACATCATTGTAAAATATTATTTGCTCTCTCAAGCTATAGCACCTTCAATCCTTGAAAAACCATAAAACTGCTACCGCTTGACCCTGCTTGACCCAGATTGCCCTAATAAAGACCTTGTGATAAGTGTCTGCATTTGTTTTACCACTGGTTTCATTTGGAAACGAAGAGCAAAGTTGAATTATGTGGCGTGAGTAGTAGACTAGAGAGAAACACTCACCCTGATACACTAGTGTGCATAGAGAGAAACACTTTCCTAGTGAGGATGCATACACAGATAGTCATTACTCTTCTCAGCTCTTTGATCTCTTTTGAAACCTTTGTTTGCACCTTGTCATGTTCTATTGCAATAATTGTGATTGGAAATTCATCTGAGGTTCATGCTTGCGAAAAGAAGATACAAGTGAACTAGGATGTAGAAATTGACTCACTTGCATTGCTTGTTATCTGCTAGATTAATTACCTTTTGCTTGAGGACAAGCAAGGTTCTAAGTTTGGGGGAGTTGTTAAGTCTCAATTTTACC